AAGAATAACGATAATATTACAGTAGTAATAGTAGTAATAAACAAAGCATTTGACAAGCTGCAGAATACAATACAAAGGTACAAATAATAGGGAACAAAAAAATCATCATCATCATCATCATCATCTCAGGACTCTGTTATGTGTCACGAATTAACATAATATGTATTGTGAGATTGTGTATGTCTTCTCTGTATGTGTGTTTGTGTACACGTTTTGTTCCTTCACGAACAGGCTGCATACAGGCGCATTGTATATTATTTATTTTTTTTTTTTCTTTTTACGCACGCGTCTTTTACGCTTTTTTCTTTGTTTCTTTTTTTTTTTAAATCTTTTTTCTATTTTTTTTCCTTTTATCCATTAAACGAACAGCATCTTTTCTGGCGCCGCTCTCGATCAACGAAAGGACGATTTTTTGATCAACGATCGATTTAAGTATCGTCAGTGTTATCAATGCGTCACGAGATTTTCATCCCCATTTTTCCCTTTTTCCCTCACACTTTCCCTTAACGCACTCTTTCTCGCTCTTTCACTCTTTCTACTCACGGCATCCTTCCACTCCTCAATAATTTCTATCCTTTCTTCTTCTTCTTCTTCTCTCTCCAACGTTCTTTCTCTCACTCGTCCTTTCTCTCCGTATCTCCCTTTTTTTCGTACGCACAAACACTGTTCCGCTTTTTGTCTCGTATGCTTTGATATTTATATATATGTATATATATATATAAAAATACAAAAAATAATTTACAAAATGATATTATAAGTATATTTTACACGCGAGTTTCATTTTTGTCTCACACTTGACTGTTTTTTGGTTTTTCTCTTTATCCCTTTCGTCCACTCTCCCTCGTTTCAGCCGGTGTGTTACTTGTCGGATTGTTCGTGTGTGTTAGCGCGTGTTTAATATGTGTACATGCCTGCGTGTATGCTATGTGTGTGTGTATATATATATATATATGTTTCGTTCCATTTTTCTCTCACCCTCTCTCGTTTCATAATTCGCTAATTTCTTTTTTTCTTTTTCTTCCTCTTCTTCACTTTTTTCGGGTCGAGAGGATGACCCGGATATTTGAAAAATTTCAAGAAACGCTTCTTTCAAATCTTTCTTTCTCACTCGTACACTCATTCTCCTCTCTGTTCCAACCCTCTTCACCCTGATGTTTAATTCAGAACAAGCAACACGCCGAAAAACTCTGACTTTTCACCTCACCCATTGTTTTTTTCTTAGATTTTTTCGCTTATTTTTTTTTTTTTTTTTTTTTTTGCTTCTTTTGGTTTGTCTCCTCGTTAAACAAAATATAATAGCAGTGTATGTATATAATATATATATATATATATGTATGTATGTATGTATAATTTTCTCATAAGTATGTTCTATACATATATATTTATACTTTTATATATATGCACGTATCTTCTATA